AATTCGAAAGTGACCTAGTAATAAAAAATTCTTACTAAGGATTGATTGTAAATCGATAAAGACATCCTAATTAAGGATGTTAAAAATATTATACCTAAACGAGATATTTGCTCGATCACAAGCTATTTTGTCTGTCTTTGATTTGGATATCAAATATATTAAAAGACATTCTAATTAAGGATGTTAAAAATATTATATCTAAACGAGATATTTGCTCGATGACAAACTATTTTGTCTGTTTTTAATTTTGATACGAAGCATATTAAAAGAGAATTAAATTCATTGTCTGGTTTCCTAACCAAAGAATTCCTGCAGGGATCAAAGATTTAAATCAGTCTAGAGATTTCTAAAATTCAAGGGGTCTTTAAACCCTAAGAGAGAAAGAGGATCGGTTTCGAAGTACGCCTCATCTAATGAAGATGATGACTCCAAGCTTGCTCGTGAAGCTTATATCCTAGGATTGCCTCCTAATAATGCAAGTGAGTCTAAATACCTTTACATTCTAGGACCACTAATTCGGTTGTCCCTTTGAAGATGACGTAAAAGACATTACACCTCATCAAGTTGCTGATATCATGCTAATCAAGCATCTCCCTCCCATCATTAGTAAAAAAAAGAGTTTTCTACTATCAAACCATTCTTATTGAGACTGGTTCGGTTGTTTTTTTTTTCTAGCCAGGACAGAAATAAGAATAAATGGGCTTATTCTAAGCTTACCATTGTCATGATCCTCTCTCATTCAGATTAGGAAAAAGATCTTCATGTAGAAAAGTCTCTAAAACATATGCTTATTCTCCAAAAGAATACTCTTATTTCGATTACATTGATGCTTGAGAATATTCATTAATTTATGAGAACAAATCGCTTAAGTATACATGGTTTATTCAGTGCCAACTCAAAACCAGTTCAGAATCCTTTCCTATCTAGTTCTAAGAATGGTTTTTCTACTCGGGACTCTTTCTTTTCTGCATGCTCATTTTTTTCGCATCTCATTTTAGGGATTTTTCAACCAATCATCCTAACAAGAATGATCTTCCCAACTTAATCTTTTTTTATGCCCCTATACCAGGTTCCTTGAATTATAAGATAAGATTATGTTATTGAAAATGCTAATAATAGCATGTGAGGTATCTTGATAGACCTTTTCCACATTCTCACAAGAGTATTGTTTTGCATTTCTCCATGTCTATAAAAAAAATTAAAAATAATAATACCAAAACAATAAATTGCAATACTCATCAACAAATTTATTTGGATAAGGAATTCAGACAAAACAAAACCAAGAAAAATAAACTCAAACACCCTACCACTCGCTACCATCATCACACCGTCCATCCCAGCCGAGCAAGCTGGCCCTTTCGTCATACTCTCTCACAAATTTAGTCTAGCCAACACCTCCCTCACCATCCTCTCTCACAAACCTAATCGAGTCAACCCCCCTGGTGTCTTCCTCTCTCACAAACCTAGCCGAACCAACACCCACCCTCGCCATATTCTTTTATGAACCTAACAACAACTAGACCCAGCTGAACCTAGCAACGCCGTCCCTTACCTCTATAGATCCTTCGATTGTCCTTTCTCACAAACCCAACTTAGCCAATGCCCCCCTACTGTCTCCTCTTATAAACCCAACCAAGTCAACACCCACCTTTGCCGTCTTCTCTCACGAACCCAATAGCTACCAGATCCATCTGAACCCAGCAACAACGTCCCTTATCTCCACAGACCCTTCGGCTAGCCTTCCTAACATCAAAAAATCTTATGTGTGGACAAACTGAGAAAGAGAAAGTGAGGAGGCTAGTAAGACAGAGCAAATAATTTTTTTTATATTTGTTGAATGAAAGACGTAGGATTTTAAGGTTAAAAAAATATAAGATTGAGAGGAATTGAAAAAATAAATAAATAAATAAGGACGGAAGAAAAAGACAAAAGTGAACATATAGGGAATAAAAAAATTAAGCATAGGGCAGAAACAAAACTAGACAGTCAACGGAGGGCAAGAAAATAAGACACGGAAAATCACTACTCATTTGAGCAGTAGAATGCATAGGACAATGAGTCTTGGTGAATGGTTTATGATACAGTGAAATGACATCCTGACTGTGTTTGTTTGGAGGAACTTGTCATCCTTATTTTTTAATATTTGTTTCGTATTTAAAAAAAAATAAAAAATAATTTTTAGTTAATGAAAAATGAGAGAATATTTTTTAAAAAATATTTTCTCGATATAAAAAGAGAAAAATATTTTTCTTCTCACGAGCTATCTCGCTCTCATGTTATTTACTTTTCTCTCAATATATTTTAATAATTTTTTTCTTTATCTTCTTTTTATTTAAAATATATCAAATTAATTTTTAATTATTTCTTTTCAATTATTATTTATTATTTAATTATTCTTTCTCTGTTTCTACTAATATTTAATTTTTTTATTTATAGATATATTAAATATTCTTAAAACCCATTTTTACACCTTAAAATTATTTTTATAATAAATATTTTAATAATTTATCTTTATTTTTTTTTACTATTATCTCAAACACCACTTAAACTATACTTAAATGATTGAAAATAATTATTACAAGTCTGTAATTTTTTATAAAAAATTCAAAATTAATTAATATATTATTTTTTTCAACACTATTCATTTGCAAATAAATCAATAATTTATAATTTTAATCATTTGTAAAATATTGTTGGTAATTATAGTGAATAATTAGTTATAAATTATTTCAACATTAATCTTTTGAAACCAAATGAATAATTATCTACAAATGATAACTAATAATTTATAAAATTATTTTTTAGACTAAATTATCAGTTCAATTTCAAAAAAAAAAAAAAGAATTATTAATTGAGTTATCAAAATAACAATGCTAGAATTACTTAGAATTTTTTTTTTTTTTTACCAAATGTCAATACCGACTTGATTTTGTCTCGAGTAATTTTGATAAATTAGTTTGATGGTTAAAAAAATATATTTTATTTTTTTGAATTAAAATTTTAGAGTTAGCATTTATGAAAATTTATTAAATTTTTCTAAATGTATCTTATATTGTGAAATTATAAATATGTCTTTTTGAAGTTTTCTAAAAACTTGTTAATATAACAATCACATACTTTTTTTATATTTTAATTTTTTGTATCAAGCAAACACTAAAATATATTTTTCAATAATTTTTTCATATAATTATCAAATGATAGAAAATTTCTTTTAAAAAAATAATTTTCTAAAATAGAGCTTTCTTAGGAATTGATTTTTCTATGAAAATTATTTTTCACCAAACAAACGAGCCTCCGTCTTACTTTTTTAGCAATTTCCAACATCTCAGATTGTGATGTTCGTTTTAATAAATATGGATTGTCAGTTAGGTTTGAAAGGGCATCGGCATGTGCGTATACTACTAATTTCTTTCCTCTATCTGCAAAATGGGTCAATTTCGGAGAGATGCTTGGATGTTGGGCCTAGAGTCTCTTCGTTTGGAAGGAGTTATCCAAAGCTTCAATACCTAAGCAGGTTTTGAACTGGGAGGCTTGCCTTACCCGGCTGAGAGGTGATCCATTGCATGAGCCATAGCCCAGATTAATGGATTTTAGTATCTAGAATTTCATAATCATCTGAATCCTTCGAACATTTCTGTCTCAAAATCAAAAGAGTAATTAATGCCCTCATTAATAGAGGATGATTCGCTGTTAAGAATCTTAGGAGTGTGACATTTTGAAGAACAAACCAATTGAAGCGAAAATATTTCCATTAAGAGAAATCAAACGCACATCTTGAGAAAAAAGAACATAGAGGTGTATCTTGTTCTTGAGAAATTAAATTATTCTCGGAATTATTATTCAGTATAACAAAAATTGTACTCTTCTCTTTTACATGATGGAGGGATCCATAAATAATTTTCATGGTGAGTCATATATTTTTGTAAGAAGACAAAGTACAACTCTTGAGAAACATCTCTTATTTTATTATTATTATTTGTCAAAAATCAATTACTAAACAACGCTTGTTGATTCTCATATATATATTTTTTTCGGCATGAGTTTGGTTTTAAATCATAATTCTAAAATTATATTCCATAAATAACTTTTGTCAGAAAATGATATGATGTGAGTTTCCAAAAAAAGAAATTAGATTTTTTTTTCCCATTTTTCGGAAAAGAAGATAGTATGATTTGGAAATGATAAGTCGGAATTTTAAGAAAAATTATGGTTAATGCTAGAGGTATTGATTTCTTTTATTAAGTTTTGCTCACTAAATGATGTGACGTCTATTATACAAAAAGAATTTCAAAACATGGAATGTAGATTTTATCACATTTGATGGCATCATTATAATTATGAAATTGAGTAATTAATAAAACACTAATTGCGTGATATCACGGTATTTAGTAAAGAACTTTAGTAAAAAAAAAAAGTATCTATAGCTTTATTAAAAAAAATATTAAATATGCCAAGAGATGTAATTTTTATTCTCACATAAATATAGTTCCCACCGTGAATATTATTCATACACCCCATTTTTATGTGAAAGAGAAAAATGTAGTTCCTAAGATATTACACAATTACTCAATTTTTAAGTTAAAAATTATAACTTTTCGTCAAAAAGAATTTTTAATTCAATTTTATAACATTTTTTTTAAATCAAAGTTTATCTAATCAAAATATATTTATAACTTATTTAAGTCAAAAGGTTAAAAAAAAAACAAATAGAATCATTTTGCAAAAATTATAACTACCAAACGAAACGTAAAGGAAGTGCAAAATTACAATTCGCAGTCAGCAGTAAAAAGGAGGGCCAGAAAACAAGAGTCTCGACAGCGGAAATGGCCCAAAGCCAAGTGTCCATTTTGGTTTGGTCAGAAAGACGGAGTTGTAGTAAATTTTATATCTTATTCTCATCGGTCAGTCCACCGAGTGAGTAGTATTAGTAAGGCAGTTTGTAGACAAATCACAAGCAGGCACTTGATTTCCTCTTTTATCTCCTCATAGGCAAACCAAAAATGGCATTGAACGAGGAGAGTTCAGAGAGCAGGAAGAGTGCGAGACTGGCGATATTAGAGCTAGCCAACATGATTAGTGTTCCCATGTCTCTCAACGCTATCGTCCGTCTAAAAGTCGCCGATGCTATCTGGCGAGGTGGCTCCAATACTCCTCTTTCTGCGTCTCAGATTCTTCAACTTGTTGATACTGGATCTGCCTCTGGAGACCCTGAGAATTTGCAACGCATCCTTCGCATGCTCACTAGCTACGGTGTCTTTGAGGAACACCTCACCAACAGTCATGATGGTTCTGGTTCCGAGAGGAAGTATTCTCTCACGGAGACTGGTAAAACGCTTGTTACGGATACCGAAGGACTCTCCTACGCGCCTTACGTGCTCCAGCACCACCAGGTCATATTTCTCCTCTCTTTGTTGGAGGGAGGGATTTTTTTTCTTTCTGCTGTTGAAAATTGAAATGGTTACATATGTAGAATGAATCTTACTATCTCAGCCAATTGGTATAGTGATTGAATTCGGATAATTTCATTAATGTTTTAATTTATATGAAAGTTATTTGAATTTGGATGGATCTTGATTAGATGGTTTATGTTCCAACTTTTATTGAGCCAGATGCTGGCCAGAATTTGTGCAACATAGGGAGTAAAATGGATTGGTTATGTGTTTCTATTTAATTGAACTGATGTGAACAAACAGGATGCGCTGATGAAGGCATGGCCATTGGTTCATGAGGCAGTGTTAGATCCCACCACAGAGCCATTTGTGAAGGCTAATAATGAGCCTGCATATGATTACTATGGGAAGCAACCAGAAATGAATGAACTGATGCTGAAGGCAATGTCAGGTGTATCTGTGCCGTTCATGAAAGCACTGTTGGATGGCTATGATGGGTTTAAAGGGGTAGAGAGATTGGTTGATGTAGGTGGGAGTGCTGGGGATTGTTTGAGGATGATCTTAAAAAACTCTCCTGGTGTACGTCAAGGGATCAACTTTGATTTGCCTGAGGTGGTTGCCAAAGCACCTAACATTCCTGGTCGGCTACTCTCACTTTTATTGGTTGTCCATATTTAAACTCTCGTCATTTTACTTAAAAAAAAAAAAAAGACCCCTTTATTTTAGGCCTTTATTCATTAAACTATCTAACATCAAATTGTTCTTTACCCAAACAAATCTTCAGATATGGATTTTATGGAATGACCTTCTTTCACTGTACATGGATTTAGGGTTAAATGATAGTTTAAGACTTTATTTCAAGCTTGGCTTGTAGCTGCTATTAGCTTGTTATATACGGCGCGTTTGAAAATGCTAATAGGGCGAGGTGCTGTATATTTTTGCACTAATGGAAGTGATTAATCCTTGCAGGTGTTGTACATGTTGGTGGTGACATGTTCAAGTCAATTCCTGCTGGTGATGCTATCTTCATGAAGGTGCATTGAGTCACTTTCCTCTGCTGAAATGTTTTGTAAAGCCTTTAGTTCATTGGATCGAAATGTAGGGTTTTATTTTTATATGTATAAATTTTGATAATGGCTAAAGTATTACCAACTTTAGAAATGACGTTATAAAGGGATCACTCAAGCGAAATCAACATTTGATAAATTGAAGCTAAATTGAGCAATGGCCACTATATACATAGGTTGATCCTCTATGTGATTGTAGTTAGAAACAGGACACATGACCAGACTCTATTTTGGACGTAGTGTTAGTATATATGAATTGATTCCCCCTTTTATATTTCTTGGACCAACCATTTTTTATATGCATCACATTCTTACTTACCAACAACTGAACAAGATTGTATTTCACTCTTCCTGATACTCCATAGACATGTCAATTTGGCAGTGGATTTTGACAACGTGGACAGACGATGAATGCAGGCTGATTATGGAGAACTGCTACAAGGCACTTCCAGTGGGAGGGAAGCTGATTGCTTGTGAACCAGTGCTGCCTAAGGATTCAGATGATAGTCACAGGACACGAGCTCTCTTGGAAGGTGACATATTTGTCATGACAATCTATAGGGCTAAGGGTAAGCACAGGACTGAAGAAGAATTTAAGCAGCTTGGTAAGTCTGTTGGTTTCTCTCATTTCCGTGCATTTCATGTTGATTATTTCTACACTGGTTTAGAGTTTCAAAAGTGATAATTCCTCGAGACTTAGCAGAACTATGAATAAATGGTACTTTCTCGGATCAGTTGATCTTCAGTTTATGGTTCATTGCTTATTGTTTCCATGATATATGTTTTTTGGGCATATACATATTCCCCAATGAAACAATTCCATTTTTGCTCATGCTCCTACAAATACAAACAAAACAAACCATCAAACTCCATATTACGTATTCCCCATCTTTTATTTCACATAATGGAATCAAGCAAATCACGAGATTTTCCTTCGCTAGCAAGTTTTTTTATATTTTCTTTTCCAAATAAGAGAGAGCGTCTTAAGGCAATCCAGTAATATATCCTGCTCATATATGTGTATGTTCATCAATTATTGCAATTCTATATTTAATGAACTCTATTTCTAAGACAAGTAGCAAGCTAGCATGCAAACTACTACAAGTGTATTATTAGTATGCTCGGGTAAACTCTTCATCCCTGTCATTTTTAGAATAGCTGGAGAAAATGTTTTCTTCGTCCCTTTCATCATTAGAAATGCTGGGCAAAATGTTTTGCTGATAGAGCCATTGATTACCATCTATGTATGAAATATCCATGTAGGGAGCTGCCTCGTATTGTGTAAGCTGCTTTCCATACGAGGCTCTAGATGTGAAGTTTGCTCCAGGTCCAAAACACTGGTACTCTCCAAAGAATACTGTCCTGCAATTGAACACACATGAATAACCAATCGCCACAATTTTTTATCACAATAGCTCAGACCATATGGAAAAAAAGATTCAGTGATATGAAAGTAAAAGAATAGGCATTAATAATTAGGATCAACCACAGACTGGTCTCTAGAAGGGTCTCTCCAATCGTTCCATCCATCTGGAGATACAACATGAGACATGTATGATTTAGAGAAGACTACGGAAGCATAGGCTCCCCAAGCTCGGCCAAGCCATACTTTCCCACTTCCAATGACGATGCAATTCACAAAGGAAAACCCAGTTTGCTCGTTCATTGATTGCCTTGCTTGAGCTGTAATAGATCCACTTGCTCCAGCTTTAGGTTGTTCTGCAATGGAACTAATGGTGCAGGACTGGCACATATAAAAGCTTGTCAATAGAAGGATTTAAAGACTCCTACCCTGTTTCACCAAATAATACAGACTAGCTAGCTATATGCATTTCGTGGAATGAAAACAGACTTGCTCTTGAAGCCTCAAAGCTTAAATAAATTCTAAGAAATGTATGGATGACATTGTATATCGCAATCTACCTGGAAAAGTGATCTAGCATTTCCGAAAATGAAATCAATCGATCCTTGGATGAAGCATCCTCTAAAATAATGCCTCCCACTATCATCATGGAGCGTGTCTTGAGCTCCATAAAATCCACATCTATAAAATGCAGCTTTGTCCCCTGCGATTCTAAGTGCCACTGCCTGCCCACCGACTTCTCCAGGAGATGGCCAAGGAGCTGTATTCTTTTGAAACCCATCAAAACCAACAAGGAGTAGGAAAAAGAATTAGGAATAAATTATTTGCAACTAATTGTCTTAGATGCGGTATATATCTTGACTCTCGACACAATATTTATGGGGTCTCGAGTACCTTAAAGCTAATATTGTAAGCCGTGAAATTAGAAGCGAAAATGGCAACTGAAGCACTATAAACAGTTCCACCAGTAGAATTTGCAGTATCGTTCCATGCTATGACGGTGTTGAGATAGCCCTGGCCTAGAACTATGAGGTTTGTTTTGTTAGCATGCACCATCACCTTCTCCCTGCGACAATATAAAAATCAGGTTCAATTGCCTAGATGTTTTTGAAATCCATGGTTTCGCGCGTTCTTAATCATGATCATACATTAGTTGACAAGCACATAGAATATAAGAAAGCTCATGAAAGAGAACAGAAACGTCAGTGGAAGAAAATGACCTGTAAATACCAGAATCCATGATGATGAGAGTGGTAGAGGAGCTGAACTCTGGAACAACATCAACAGCCTTCTGAATGCTGCTAAAATTTCCACAACCTTTCAAGTCCACTGTCAATACAAGAGACACTTTATATCGGTATATTAGCTTAGATCTCCATTTATTCGGGTCGCATTTGATTTTGGGCTTCCTCCGGTGATGGTGTCTTGAAAAGAAACTTGCTACCACAGATTGGATATCCTCTAACCCGCTTTTCTTGATAACCCTTTCAAAAATAGTAAGAATAGAGCTATCTTCAGTTCTTATTGGAGAACTTGTTGAAGGGGACGGAGAGATTCCATAGAGGGCAATTACAATAGAAATTAGAGCAAAAGCCGAGGCCAAGAGCCAAAAGGAGGTCGTTTTGATTCTCATGCTTCAACTTCTGGTGGTTGTTAGGGTTGTATGATATGTTTAGCCAAGTAAAATGGGAGTGATAATATGGTTGTTATAATTTACATGAAAATTATGATTGGCGTGGCAGGTAAGAAATGTATGGGCATTAAGATCAGTTTGTGCGTGTGATGATGATTACAGCTTCTACTTTTGAAGTAATGGCACAAAAAAGAATGGAGGTAAAGGAGAAATGGGCGAACTTGATGATTGGAAGATGCACACGCTAAGACAAGAGAGAGAGAGAGAGAGAGAGATTATGGCCATGATGAAAGAGGGGAGTGGTTATTTTGCATGTGTTCTCTTGTTAATTGACCATTTTAAGAGAATGTGAATGATGAAAGCAGAAGAAAGTGATACATGGTTGATGATGCCACACTGCTTTTTATGGCAAGGAGATGACATACAAAAGGAGAGGGAACACAAATTTTATTATAACTAACTTAAAACAATCCCTAATTAAATATTTATTGTAGATAGGTTATTATGCTTTTTATGGCTGGGCTTGCTTCCAGCCCAGCCTCATGGGCCTATTGTCTCCAGACCCATATAGATGGGTCTAGTGTTAGCCCAGCCAAGCCTCTCTTCCATAACATTAATTATTATTTACTCAAAATCAATTTTTTCATGCTTTTTTTTAAATTTATTATTTACTCAAAACAATTTTTTTCATAATTAATGGTTATATCTTTTTTTTATATAAACTAGTTAACTAAAATTAAACACTCTTATAATATAAATTGATTTTTTAATAAACAAAAAATTAATTGCAAGTTTTCTTTGTTTCTAGGATATATTTAAACTCCATATTTTATTAAATATGCATCATATATATTAAATTAAATAAATTCTCACAATTAGTATTAATTAATTTTTATTTTATGCCCAGATTTTTTAATTATTTAAAATATTAAAACAAAAAATTATGTTTATTTTTTTATGTTTTAAGACTCGTTAATTAAAATTAATCACTCTTCTAATATAAATTGATTAGCATATTCTTCTAATTTATTTTTTAAAAAATAATTAATTAATTGTTTTTTTTTTTTTTTGGGTTATTGATCAAAATAAAAGATATTCCTATGATATATTTCAACTCAATTATATATATATAAACAAATCCTCACAATTAGTGGTAATTAATTTTTATGGTATAAACATTGTTTGCATTAAGCTTTTGACACCACCCTAGTTAAACGGGCGACTTGCCTTTGATTTGGTTATGAGCAATTTACTCTGGACGGGAACTTTCTCACGGTTGTATAATCATCCGTTGTCTTCTTGACAAGGAACGGAAAAGCACAATACCAAATATTACCATGCCTACTCACTGGCACAAAATTAAACTGAATTTGAGCTTCAGAATCAAAAGATCGAGCATTTCCTTCCTACCCCGCCTATTCCCTGATCTGTGTGTGGCATCAGCCCCTAAAACATCAATCCACCTTTTCCTGAGTTACGATAAAAGAAATCGGTTGGGATTGCATGGTATTTAACAGTAAAATTGAAAACTTAATTGAAACACTTAAGAAAGCGGTAAGAACAGCTTGCATTGCTTCATCTAGAACACTAATCAGTCGGGGACTAGACATGTATATACTTCATTCAATATCTAGTCTATACATAAATTTAAAAATAATTAAAAAATAAGATTAAAGCTGTAAAAACTAAAAGCTCAGGCGTCTTTTCCAACTTACTAAAAATAGCTCCCCATCACTCTTTTTTACAATACCCTACGGACTTTTATTAACAATTCTACAGGTAGGAACCAGTTTCTGTAGCATAGACGTCCCTTCAAATCTCACCATCTGGCAGCAGCTTTTCCTATATTTGCTAAGCTGCAGGGCAGAGGAAACATCAATTTCAGACAGGTAAATCATAGATCCACAACGACATCTAGTTTGTGCATTTCGTGTGTGCACCTGTAGACATACCCATACCTGCTCGGGTTTTATCTTCTGAAAACCAAATTTTTCTGTCCATATTGACTCTGCCTCTTCAGCAGCTGGAAGCACAAGGTTCTGCACATTTAAAAATGCCAGCAACTTCTCGATGCAGGAGAACAGTAATTGAAAGTAGCCCTGAGAAAGTAATCAGTCTCCATAAATCAAGATTCACAAATATATTGCAATATCTGAAAAGTATAGTCCAAGTTTTAAAAAAATATTAGGGATCCGAAAGGCCACAAAACACACCATTGACCTCTAGGGGGCCAAAAAAATAAAAGCCCAAATTCCAGCTCACAGAAAGAGTTGAAAGTGCAAGAAAATGTGAGAAATAACTAGACATCATGCCCAGCTGGTTAGCCTCACCTTGCCATGGTCACCATTCCTTGTTGCAACCAAGGGAAGTTCTGCAACTTCTTCCCCAAAAACTCTAAGTATACCCGCCGATACGACACATGAGCTGCAAAATTAGAGATTTAGACTTCATAAACATTCCTATAGCTCCAACTATAACCAGTTTGGAGAAACAAGACTCTCTTACTTGACTGTTAACACAGCACAGTACATTCCTCCATAATCTTGGCCCATTGAGTTCTTACTGAAAGACAATTAAGTAACATTAATGGCTGCTGAAACTGGCAATAAAATACCATGCTGTAAACAATGGGGAAAAAATGAATGCTTACCCATAAACCATCAAAGGAATTAGATCGCGTCCAATTGTTGAATCAACTATAGGATCAAAACATTCCTGGAAAATAAATGAGAAACTTTCAGCCCAGCACAGCTTGGTTGCTTTTATTTGCAGATAAAGCATTATACAAAATACAAAAACACTTAAAAAGGAACTGCAATATAGCATTGCATTCTAATATAGATGAGTAAAGATTGTGAAGGGAATCAGATCATGTCCAATTATTGAATCAGCTATAGGATCAAAACATTCCTGGAAAATAAATGACAGAAACTTTTCCCAGCACATCTTGGTTGCTTTTATTTGCAGACGAAGCATTACACAAAATAGATAAGCAAATAAAAGGAATCACAATGTACCACTGCATTATTATATAGACGAGTAAAGATTGTTAAGTAAATGATTAAATTTAACATTAACATTGTCTAGTGACGGGTAAGAAGAATAATACTTGCAAGACATCATTGATAAAAGAGATGACTTAAATGACTTAGAAAAAGTTTCATCACACTTCACATATCACTGCAAGCATGCCCATGCAGGGATTTAACAAGTGACGCATCATCCTAATGAGCAGCCAGAGGCATGCATTGTTTATCAATTAAGTTGTGTTGTGGCAGTCAGTAAAAGAACTGACAGCAAGTTTCTGCACTGTTATTTCAAAAGCTCAACAGTTTTCCAGCACGAGGACTTGAATCTTCTTTCCAAAATTATTGACGATCAGAATGAGGATATATAAAAAAAAAGATAAGATGGTTGGAGATACATCCAGCAAAAAATGAAACAAATGATAACAGGCATGTTGACCATCGAAGATCAACTGAGGTTATATTCTTATATGATACTCTTGCTTGCTTTATTTTCTTTTTTAGTGGGCCAATAATGGCACACAATTCACAGGAATTCTTTAAAAGAAAATTTAAATTAAGAGAGAGGCATAATGGCAATGGATCATGATACTTGACACAAATATAAGCTAGTATATCTACTTTTAAGGTGGAGAAAAACCTCCCATTTTTTAGAAGCATAAAAACTTGGTGCATAGAGCATCATTCCTAAAAGCACAACTTTTTTCCTTATGCAATTGGCTGAGCATTGAGGTGAAAAGCACCTTGTGCACTTCTTGCATAGCAAGCAAAATATTTTTCCAAAACGCAACAAGCAAAAGAAATTCTGGCATTCTTTATTTATTTTGAAACTCAGACAGAAACAAAAGATGTTGATTTATTAGATTTGAAGTCGTCCTTGAATTTTTAGAAGCCAATAACCACTAATGGGAATCCTGCCAACAGATATTAATTTAGAGCAGCAACACCACTGATTACTATATTAAAACATCAATGGCCAAAGAAACATTCATAATGCACAGGGCAGTACTTACTTGAAAAATAGAAAGAGCCCGTGAAAGTAAAAGCTTATTTTCAGGAGAAGCAATTTTTCCACTAAGAAGTGTCCATCTCACATCAATATTGTTACTGATGTTTAAACCGTTTTCCTCGTGCTTCATCTTTATATCACTCAAAAGAGAGTCTGGGAGTTTCTCAGCCCCACGAATGAGCAACTTCTGCAAAGTAGAATGGATCCTACTGCAATCCATGCAACAAAACCAGTTCCCTTTTGGCAATTCCTGTCAAACAAGTTGCATCAAAATATTAATACACAAATTTAGTAGAATGTTCACCGCACATGACAATGAGTTGATGCAAATAATATCTATCATAAAAAGGAGATACAGATCATGTGAGAGCTAACCTTCAGATTTGCCATCTTCTGACTCCTTAAACAGCCAACATGAAATTCTTTCTCACACTGGCAGAAAACAGAAATTTAATAAGTGTACCACTCCTCTAAGCAACTTCAACCAACAATGAATTAAGAAACATAAATCCATGTCCACATAGAGGAAAAAGAAGAATAAGATGACATGAAAAAGAGGAAAGCGCCTAATCAAAGTGCAAACATCAAGTTAATTATATTGATGCAAGCACCATTGTCACAAAAGAATTTCCCTGTTTGAATCACTCAATTTCAATTGCAATAAAAAAGAAGACATGAACAACTTGGAAGATTACCTGATCACAAAGTATAATTGTGCGTGGACCAAATCCAGATCTCATAAAATCATAACCTCTGCATAAAACAAATACCAAAGATATATCAAGCTCCGGCTTAGTCCAAAGGGATTGAAAGACCAATAACCATATTTATAGATACAACTCTTCATTACAAACTGCATGACAGGGGTCATGAGTTGTGAAAAAGTCCATAAGCTTCAATAATTTCAATTTATCAGTGTAACTATGACCTGCATAAAGCACATCCAGTAAGTTCAGCTTCTATGT